CATACTCAGTCAGTCAGTCAGTAGATCGATGCTCATGATGCTGATCGTCTGGGCCAAACTCGATTGTTTACAGACCACCTGAATATTGCTGGAATATTGCTGGAATATTGCTGAGTGTGACATTAAACAACCAACAAAACAAACTGATATGTTGCCAGTACATTGCTTCACATTAAAATTCTCACATTCATTTCTCCTCAGTTTTCACTGATTACACTGTTACAAGAGTTTATGTCCCCCAGTACAAAGACTAGCTACCATTCACTGGCATGTCATGGATTTACAAGTGAAAAACAGGTTGATATCAGAGAACCTACCCTCTGATGTTATCTTTATTGCATTTCTGTCACAATAGATTTGTAATGCCATATCAGGTGAAATTCCTTAGATGCACTCGTGACTCATGCTTGAAAATTGTGACAAATGAACATAAAAACAATGTAATAAAATTTCATTTAATTATTCAAACAAGGCAAATTCCATTCTAATGATGTGAAGTTGGACATTTATTATAGAGGGGCAGCAGTGATGTCCTTAGGATATGACTTGTAAAGATCCAGGTTAGAATTGGTCTTCAGCAACCCATGCTTGTCATCAGAGACGACTAACAGGATCGAGTGGTCAGGCTTGCTTAGTTAGTTGACACATACCATTGTATCCCAATTGCTGATGTTGATCACTGGATTGTCTGGTCCAGACTGACTGCCTCCGTGGTGTAGTGGTTAGAGCGTCCGCCCAGAGAGCGGAAGGTCGCGGGTTTGATCCCCGACCGCGTCATACCAAAAGACGTTAAAATATGGTACTTGTTGGTCCCTGCCTGGCGCTCGCCATTAATGGGTACAACAAGGACTGGTCGACTCGGAGTCAGTATAATGTGTCTGAGTGGGGTATTCATGCTTCACTGTGGCATGATATCTCAGTGGCCTAGCACTATAAAACCAGCTTAAGTATGGGCTAGTACAAGCAGCCGCACATATACATACACATGCATGCACGTCGTCATATGAGAGAAATATTCTCGAGCACGACGTAAAACCCAATTTCACCTCACCTCTGGTCCAGACTTGAGTGTTTTGTAGACTGCTGCCACAACAAGCAAGCAAAATGTTAGGTAATATCCAGTGAGTGAGTGAGTGAGTATGGTTTTACGCCGCTTTTAGCAATATTTCAGCAATATCACGGCGGGGGACACCAGAAATGGAGGTAATATCCAGTACATATTAGAGGCGGTAGGATAGCCTAGTGGTTAAAGTGTTAGCTTGCTAAACACCTGGGTGTGAAGTCCATTTCTGGCATTCCCCGGTGTGATATTGCTGGAATATTGCTAAAAGCAGGATAAAACCATACTCACTCACACATTCCAGTACATATTGCCATTCAAATAATAATAATAATAAGTCACTTGCAAATTCAAAGACATGGTAGACTGGGTAACAACGCCATGAATTCGGTTATCAGCCACATGAATTGTGTTACTCCTCATGTATAGTGTAATCTGTCCAAACGGTGCGGAGAAAATGGTGTAAAAATAATAAGGAAACACATATGCTCATCTTTTTCTATTTCAGAAATAATTTATGGGTATGAAATTTACTTTGTAAGAAAAATTGCCAGAGATAAGTCCTAATTTTGTACCTAACAACTGTTGGTGTATGTACAGTTTTTCATTTTCTTGAAAAAAGGTTAAACTGAATACTGTTGCACTGGTGCAGATTAGCATTTCACGGCAGCATTGCTGAACTTTGTGTTGATGCAGTCATATGGTTTTCATGGAGAAGGTTGCAGGGTTGCACATATCTTTCTAAGCAGTAAAATGCCATACACTGAGTTGTACTCAGAAGGGGGTCTCCAGTGACTGCACCCTCTAACTTTATCATATATGTTTGGTAAGGGGCAGTGGGATAGCCCTGTGGTCCTTGTGTTGCATAGCATTGGGCTGGGTTTGAATCCCCACATGGGTAGTTTGTGAAGCTGTTCTTGGTACCTCGTGTTCCACATATGTCTGTGGCAGATATATCACCAATTTTTTCCAATTATATATTTATATTATTATTTTAATGTCATGCATAAATTGTCCATGGAGACATTTATTATACGTTATTGAATGTCATTGTTTATACAGGCTTTCTGAATAGCAATGAAAAGAGACATACTGCCAATATCCTGTAATATTATCAACAAAGACGAACTTCTAGTGAAGTGGTGGGTTAATAGAATTAACAACATGGATAATATGCATGTGTTTTCGTACATGTTCCTTAAGAATAATTTCTGACTGGACATGCTAGGATAACAATGTTGTTTCGATAATCGATTGTCTTTGAACCCTTGGTTCAAATTGTAAATATCCTCATATAGAAATTGTTGTATATTCCCTTGTCATGTTGTAATAACATTTCCCCTAATACAAATACTTAATGTATCAAAAAGAGGATGGCAAATTATAGTATTTTTGTATCAAAAGCAGTTTTTGTAAACCTACGGTTTATAAGCATATAAGATACTGCTTAAAAGTAATTCTCCTTTAGTCCCACATCTTCAAAGTATTAGTAAATCAATAATAGATTAATTATTAGATTATCTTCTCTGATTGCCTCACTATCAAACATACCACCTTATCTCATTGTGACCCCAACTATTTACAAATGAAAAAATTGCCTATGATGCACTTATTACTTTCTGAAAAACACCATAGAAACTGTCCGACCAGTAACGTCTGTGCTTAATCTGAAGTACATGCTGGCAACAGTTTGTTTAAAAAATATATAAAGGTAAACTGCCTCTGATCTCACATTTATAGAAATTCTGTTTTAAAATTTTATTTACTTTAACTGATATACATTTTGGAGATTTAATTTATCAATTAAAAAGAGAAGAATCAGGTTGTGGAGGACACTGTGATGGGCTCACTCGCCCATTTTAGTACATGTATACCATTACACGCCTACAGGAAACTCTTGTAAATGCAAGTTTGCATATATAGAAATGTTACAAGTATAAGCTATCCGTAAGGCAGTATGGCATTTGTTGCAGCAGCCCACGTTTGTTGTTCAACCTCATTTTCATTTTTGACATTTAGTATGTTCTGTTATACAACCCAATCACATCAAAGCATGTGCATCTGAAGGACTTTCATAAATTCTTTCGGACAAAACACATAAAAAGATTTACAGCTGTTTTGTCTGACTTGATTTCAACATTCAATGCTATTACGGGTCTGTAAATGTTTAAGTTTAGATTTATATGACATTCATGCAAATTTGTCAGGCTGAAGTGTTCACAAACACAATGAAATCATGTGTGATTGGATATCCATGGTGTATTCTCAAACAACAGGTTGTTCTAACTGAGCACTTTTAATGCAGTGATATGTATGAAATTGCTTAATAATAACTGAATTGTTAACTGAACTGGTGCAGTAGATTTGTCCAATAAACAACTGAAAAAGTGAACTTGGTTTTGTAAGTAACCTCACCAAATATGAAGTTGGAGGTTCAGTTGAGTGAAAACTGTCAGGGCTCTGTTGAATGATGGCTGTTGGGGTTTCAGTTGAGTGAAAACTGTCAGGGTTCTGTTGAATGATGGCTGTTGGGGTTTCAGTTGAGTGAAGACTGTCAGGGTTCTGTTCAATGACGACTGTTGGGGTTTCAATTCGGTGAAAACTGTCAGGGTTCTGTTGAATGATGGCTGTTGGGGTTTCAGTTGAGTGAAAACTGTCAGGGTTCTGTTGAATGACGACTGTTGGGGTTTCAGTTGAGTGAAAACTGTCAGGGTTCTGTTGAATGATGGCTGTTGGGGTTTCAGTTGAGTGAAAACTGTCAGGGTTCTGTTGAAAACTGTCAGGGTTCTGTTGAATGATGACTGTTGGGGTTTCAGTTGAGTGAAAACTGTCAGGGTTCTGTTGAATGATGGCTGTTGATGGTTCAGTTGAGTGAAGACTGTCAGGATTCTGTTGAATGATGGCTGTTGATGGTTCAGTTGAGTGAAGACTATCAGGGTTCTGTTGAATGATGGACGTTTGGGTTTCAGTTGAGTGAAGACTATCAGGGTTCTGTTGAATGTTGGCTGTTGATGGTTTCAGTTGAGTGAAAACTGTCAGGGTTCTGTTGAATGAAGGCTGTTTGGGTTTCAGTTGAGTGAAAACTGTCAGGGTTCTGTTGAATGATGGCTGTTGGGGTTTCTGTGGAGTGAAAACTGTCAGGGTTCTGTTGAATGATGGCTGTTGATGGTTCAGTTGAGTGAAGACTGTCAGGGTTCTGTTGAATGAAGTCTGTTTGGGTTTCAGTTGAGTGAAAACTGTCAGGGTTCTGTTGAATGATGGCTGTTGGGGTTTCAGTTGAGTGAAGACTGTCAGGGTTCTGTTGAATGATGGCTGTTGGGGTTTCAGTGGAGTGAAAACTGTCAGGGTTCTGTTGAATGAAGGCTGTTGATGGTTCAGTTGAGTGAAGACTGTCAGGGTTCTGTTTAGGAGAAAAACATCATGTGTTGGCCAATTTCCAGCCAATTTCGTTTGAAAAAAGGCTCTTGGGGGTTCAGTTGAGTAAAAACTGTAGGGACATCAGTTAAATGAATGATCTTGGTACTTAAGTTCAATTAGGGTTCAGTAAAGGTTCAACTGAAGGTTCAGCTCTGATTTTTATGTTGCCACTGTTGTCTTCATGGAGGCCATTGTCGAGGACACAGTTGGCAGTGTGATGGTGAGCCTAAAGTAATTAATGTCTTGCTATCCAGAAACCTTTGTCTGTTAGATCACACCAACTAGTTTCATCAGTGAGCCTTTGTTGCCTTATGTAAGAAACCCTTGAATGGATAGATAATGTCATCTGCTGCATTAAGTAAATGTCAGACTCAGTACCAGGTTCAATCTTGGAGGAAGTTTACATAATAATGGACATAAAGCTGCTACTGAAATGTTTGTATCTTGTGACAGATGCATGTTGGACTGAATCTTGTATGAGATTGGATTGTTAGTTACATGATGGTTTTCTTTTCTTTTTCAGAAAGACATCCTTATTGAGTACAAGAATTCTAAGGAGTTTAGTGGCCATTTGTAAGTATGATTCAAGAGTGATTTGTTTTCCTTTATTATCCCCCAAGCATGTAATGCCGGGGGATATAGTCGATGCCTCGTCCATCTGTCCGTCTGTAATCATCTTGTTTCCGTAGCATAACTCAAAAACCTTTCAATACTTTTCAACAAAAATTGGTAGATATATGAAACAGAACCTAAGGTGGTGCCTTTTGCTATTTACAGATTTTTGTCAATTATTGTCTTCTTGGTTTCCATGGAAACAATTCGGACATAGTCTCAAAAGGGAGGCGTGGGCTACGTTTCCGGAGCATAACTCGAAAACGGTTCAATATTTTTCAGCAAAAAGTGGTAGATACATCAAGCAGAACCTACAGTGGTGCCTTCTGCTATTTACATATTGTTTTAATTGTTATTTTTCTCAGTTTCCATGGAACAATTCGGACTTAGCCTAAAAAAGGCAGAGGTGGGCTTTGAAAACCTTTCAATATCTTTCAGCAAAACTTGGCAGATATATGAGGCAGATCTTGAAGTTGTGATTTTTGCAATTTACAGATTTTTTGCATTTATATTTTTCATGATTTCCATGGAAACGATTTGGACTTAGTCTAAAAAAAATCAAGTTGGACTTTAAGTTACTGTCAGATGATTTGTTCTTTCAAATATGTGGGGGCGGGGGGATATGTCATCTTCTGATGACTCTTGTTAGAAAACACAGGTAGATTTGTTTTGAATCTGAATGTCAAAAGTTCATTATCTTGTGGGGTAGCCTAAAACACAGGTTTGATTCCCCACATGGGCACAATGTGTTAAGCCCATTTCTGGTGTCCCCCGCCGTGATATTGCTGGAATATTGCTAAAAGCGGCGTAAAACTAAACTCAGTCAGTCAGTCAGTCAGTCAGTCATTATCTTCCACTTTGTGATCAGATCTTTACAGTTACAAAATAACCAAGACGAGATCTTTAGAGTTATCTATTTCTGAACACTGAAGACCAAAGTTTATCAAGCATGCAACTACTATTCACAGAGTCTAATTAAACCCCAGATTCTTTTCCCATTAGTGTCTTAATCATATCATATACAGTCTTGGTCAGAGGGAATCAATTCAGATTTAGAACAAGTAATTGGTTCCTGGTAATAGATCTGTCTCCGGTCGTCCCCTGGCTATACATGTATCTACAACACCCAGAGAGGGAACAGACATCAATAGTCACATACTGGACATCACACTGGGCAACTGACCATGATAGCAGTCCATGTTCTTTCCCAATGAGAGGCGATGGGGTAGCCTTGTGGTTAAAGTGTTCACTCATCACACTTAAGACCCAGGTTCGATTCCCCACCTTGTTTCAAAGTGTGAAGCCCATTTCTGGTGTCTCCCAGTGTGATATTGCTGGAATATTGCTAAAGGTGGCATAAAACAACTCACTCACTCACTCTTTCCCAATGGCTCTTCTCTTATCCTTTGTCAGTCAAGGATAAAGGCGGTCCCTTAAATTACTGCCTATGCTATGAAATTGTGGATGTAACTGTGATGCTTGTGTCTCACATCAGCCAGTGATGGGGACTGTTGCCCATGTTATCAGCCCCTTGTTGGGATTCTGGGTTTCAGTTGGTCTCCCGAAATCTCTGCTGATTGTAAGAGGTAGATGAATGGATTTTATGCTCAGATTTGGTGACTTGGTATGTCATTATACCCTGATGGGGTTGATCATCCTCATGATATGAATCATTGGCCATGGACTTTATTACTTACAGACTGCATAATTTTCCGGAATATTTAGTTACAGACTGCATCATTTTGTTGGAATATTTAGTTACAGACTGCATAATTTTTTCCGAATATTAAGTTACAGACTGCATAATTTTCTGGAATATTTAGTTACAGACTGCATCATTTTCCAGAATATTTAGTTACAGACTGCATCATCTTCCCGAATATATTTAGTTACAGACTGCATCATTTTCCTGGAATATATTTAGTTACAGACTGCATCATTTTCCGGAATATATTTAGTTACAGACTGCATCATTTTCCGGAATATTTAGTTACAGACTGCATCATTTTCCAGAATATTTAGTTACAGACTGCATCATTTTCCAGAATATTTAGGTACAGACAGCATCATTTTCCTGGAATATATTTAGTTACATACTGCATCATTTTCCGGAATATTTAGTTACAGACTGCATCATTTTCTAGAATATTTAGTTACAGACTGCATCATTTCCCAGAATATTTAGTTACAGACTGCATCATTTTGCTGGAATATTTAGTTACAGACTGCATCATTTTGCTGGAATATTTAGTTAGAGACTGCATTATTTTGCTGGAATATTTAGTTACAGATTGCATCATTTTGCTGGAATATTGCTGAGTGCAGCATCTAACTATCTTGTCAACCGCAGCACTGTGGTGGATGCCAGAGAGGGTCTTCACATATTGTGGGAAGTCAAACTTGGCTTTTGTTTGTGACAATCGAATGCTTTAACCACTAGACTTCCTCACATCTGCGTCTTTACCCTAAGAGATACGTAAGAGGCCACTAACGGGATCGGGTGGTCAGGCTCACTGGCTTGGTTCACACATGTCATCGTATCCCAATTGCGCAGATCGATGCTCATGATGTTGATCACTGGATCATCTGGTCCAGACTCGATTATTTACAGACCACCGCCATATAGCTGGAATATTGCTGAGTGCGGCGTAAAACTAAACTCACTCACCGCTAAGAGATACAGGACTTGGAGACAATATTTTGCTGACAACTTAAACTCACTTCCAGCTTCCAGTGGTTTAGAGTATTGGTTACCTGTGCCATGTGACTGATTGTATCTCATCTCACCATGAGAACATGAATTCTTTAATTTCGAAGGCGGTGCTGTGTATGCGATAGTTTGCAAGGAGTCACACCATTGCTGGAATGTTGCTCAACACAACATTAAAAAAATATTTAAAATTCATTCTGCAAACTGAAACTGTTGAAGCACTCACTGACTCACTCCACTCAACACTCGTGAACAAACTCATAAATGTACTGAAACAAGGTTTGTGCACCCTGCCATCCTAGCTGGGTGACCACAACCTGACATAAATAACATATCACTGTAGCTACTTCAAGACAGATTTATGACATTTATCAATGTCATGTCCTGTAATAAAAAAATATTGGCATTCAGTGTGTATTCCTGTAAATTATGAACGAAGTTAATGTACGTTTTCAAAGCTAACATGCTTTACATCTGTCCAAAGATTTTTAACAGTGATAATTTTATGTGTTGTTTATCGTCACAGCCATGCATAAATTGTCATAAAACAACAGTTTATCCGATTTGCCGAGGATGTAGTCCATGTAAGTATTCCAGGTCAGTGGTGGTCCAGCATGTTTACATGATATAGCTAGAAACTTGCTAACAGCAAGCACCACCAACTGCTGGGCAGATTGGCCACCAGTGTTAAATGCAGCATTACCCGTGAAGATCTGAGCCCCGTTCCTCAAAGCGATCGTAGCGCTACGACTGTCGTAAGTCTATGTTAAAGTATGGGAGTTACGATCATCTTAGCGCTACGATCGCTTTGAGGAACAGGGACCTGGGTTAGAACTGACCTTCAGTAACCCATGCACGTTGTAAGAGATCACTAACAGGATCGGGTGGTCAGGCTCGCTGACTTGGTTGACACATGTCGCAGTATCCCAATTGAGAAGACCGATGCTCATGCTGTTGATCACTGGATTGTTTGGTCCAGACTCGATTATTTACAGACCCCTGCCATATACCTGGAATATTGCTGACTGTGGCGTAAAACTAAACTCACTCACAAAATGCAGCATACTATGGGACCCTTGTCTGATGAATTCTGGTTTAAAATCAAGGAATCTTTCTTGTTTTTATGATGGAGATATTTTCAGCAGATACTCATGATCCTTGTTCATACCAAAGTTTCAAATGGCCTGTATTGCTGTGAGCTTTCCAATGTTAATGTCCCGCTGTGATAAAACTGAAATGCTGTTCTGCGTGGTGTTGAACCCAACTAACACCCTGACACTTAACGCAAGATGCATCATTTATACATGATTCATTTCACTCTGCTCAGATATGTCTGTTTCTATATTGTCCACAGCCTATTTATAGACAAGCTGTATTTTCTTTGCAATGCTTTAAAATCTTTCCCCAAAGAATCTTACACCTTCAATCTCAATTTTCTACATGTTCCTACTTAGGTGTGAATAGTGTCAACAATTTTAAAACAGGGCCAACAAAATTTTCCCTCTGCTTTGCCGAAATTAAATTAACATTTTTCTCAAATCAAATTGTTGAACTGAAATTGATGTTCCAGCAAAGGAGGTCGTGCATCTTTAATTTCTCAGCCCTGTATGATTAGAACCAGAAAATACAGTTAGAACATCTAATGGAAAAAGGTACTGGGTCAGTTCAAGAAAATTTGATCGGAGGGAAATGGGTCTCCTGTGCCCGGTGTAGTCATCAGAAGGTGGTACTTGTTGGTGTAGTTGTCAGAAGCTGCTTCTTGTCGGTGTAGTCGTCAGAAGCTGGTTCTTGTCGGTGTAGTCGTCAGAAGCTGGTTCTTGTCGGTGTAGTCTCGTCAGAAGCTGGTTCTTGTTGGTGTAGTCGTCAGAAGCTGGTTCTTGTCGGTGTAGTCATCAGAAGCTGGTTCTTGTTGGTGTATAACTTATCAGAAGCTGGTTCTTGTTGGTGTAGTCATCAGAAGCTGGTTCTTGTCGATGTAGTCATCAGAAGCTCGTTCTTGTCAGTGTAGTCATCAGAAGCTGGTTCTTGTTGGTGTATAAGCTGTCAGAAGCTGGTTCTTGTTGGTGTAGTCATCAGAAGCTGGTTCTTGTTGGTGTATAACTTGTCAGGAGCTGGTTCTTGTTGGTGTAGTCATCAGAAGCTGGTTCTTGTCGGTGTAGTCGTCAGAAGCTGGTTCTTGTTGGTGTAGTCATCGGAAGCTGGTTCTTGTCGGTGTAGTCATCAGAAGCTGGTTCTTGTCGGTGTAGTCATC